ATGGAAAATACAAGGATTTCCTATCTACCCCTCGTTCCCACATACCCAGAGCTTCCTCCATTACCAATAGTAGAGGGGTGTTTTGTGAAGAAGAGAAGCTGGTTGGACTGAGGAAGTGGTGGCAGTGTGGGTGAAGAGTTGGCAAAGAGCACATGGCGATGCCAGGGAGTGAGAGGAGACCTCCTGCAGAGGGAACAGGAAGGAGATGGCCCTGGAGAGGGAGGCAGGTCCCAAACCATGAACAATCTTGACTGGTCCCAGTGGGGGACGAGGAGGCAGATGCAGGTTCCAAGGCCAGAAGGGCAATGGCCAGACTTTTACTTGGAAGGATAATTCAGACTGCATTCATGGGGAATGGATTTGATGGGGGCCGGCATGGATGCGTCGATACAAAAGACTATTTCAGTTTTGCAGATGAGGTGTGAGGACAGGGTGACCCAGGACGACAGTGACACTGGGAAGAGAAGTGGGGACATTTTTGGATGTTTAGAAAGTAGAATTAAGAGGGCTTTGGAATGGTTGGGAGTGGGTATAAAGGAGATGGGGCTGCCATTTTATCAAGATGGGGGAATAGGAGAAGAGAAGCAGTTTGGGGTCCATCAGTGGCCTGGTGGTTACGGGGGCTGATCTCACACGGCCAACTCTGTGCCCAAAAGCCCAAAAAGAGAAATGGAAGAGAAGGGATTGTGATGTGACCATCCTCCGCACTGGGTGCTTTCCTTTTTTTTTTCCCTCTCTGTCTCTCTCTTACGAGCACCTGTGCCCTATAACAAATTTAAAATAAATTTTTAAAAAGGACAAGGAGTTTTTTGTTTTGTTTTCTTTTGCCAGAGGACACCTGCACTTACAGGAGAGAGAGAGAGAGAGAGAAAGGAAGAAAGTGTCCCCCCATAGGGGATGGTCACACTGCAGTGCCTTCTCCTTCCTCTCTCTCTCCTTTCAGGATTTTGGGCACGTCGCCTATGTGCCCAGCATGTTTCTCAAGCTGCCGAGTCTAGAACTTGAACTTTGCAATTGGCCACGTTGGATCCAGCCACTTTAACTGCTGGCCCAAGAAGGATTCAGGCAAAGAGCACGAGTGTGATGAGGGACATATCATATTTAAGCTGTCTGTGACACACAGTGGCGATAGCAGGGGGGGGAGGGCAGTAGATGTGTGAACCGGGACTCCAGAGGAGAAATGTAAGTTGGAGACACAATTGGGAGTCACGCTGGGAGTCAATGGGTGGCCACGGAAGCCATGGTAACAAGTGGGATTATGGGAAGAGAGACCATACAGTGGAGAAAAGGAAGTAAATCTAGAACTAAGCCCCCAGGGAACGCTAGTATTTCAGAAGAGGTAGAAAAGCGCGAAATGGCCAGGCACAGAGAAGAAGTGAACAGTCAGATAGGAAGAGAACCAGAAGACTAGCAGTATAAACATGAAGGGAAGAAGTCCTTTCATGAAGAGGGTGAGCTGTCCTGTAGAGCAGTGGTTAAGCCCTGTGCACAGGCAATCAGACTTCCTGTGGTTGACCACGGTTCAAGTCCCCGCTCTGGTAGCTAGAAAAACACATTGGCGCATGTGTGTGTGCCCCAGATGGAGGATGGAGGATGGAGAAATGGAGGAGGGACTGCAGTGTAACCGTGCCCCTCAGGGGTTATCTCTCTGTCTCTCGCGAGTGCATGTACCCTCTGGCATTAAACAAAAAGGTGGGGGGATCAAGTGGCAAGAGCTGCTGACTGTCTGGTAGAGTGTCCACCGAAGGTTTAGGCACTGCTGTGGACTGCTGTGGTTTAAATAGGTTCCCCAAATGCACGTGCTCATATTTGGCGGTGATGGGATTGAGAGGGTGAAAACTGACTGTGGTGTTGAAAGGTGGGGTCTATGGGAGGAAATTAGGATTAAGGTCATCAGGCGGGACACTGGTGGAGAGAGAGAATATGACAGACACACAGACACCAACATGCTCACTTGGCCCTCTGCCCTATTCCCCACCAGCAAAAAGCCCATCCCCAGACAAGGCCCCAGGACATTGGACCTCTGAACCGTGGGCTGAATAAACTCCTATTCTTACAAGTCGCCCAGTTTCAGGTTTCCTGTTATTAGCTACAGAACGGACTAGAACGGCATGCAGACAATGAAGACCAAGTGGGGTGGGGGTGGGGGGCAGAAGCCAGATCGAAGGGGGCCATGCTGGAAGGAGACAGGAAAATAGAAGTAGTGAATGTAGACAGCTCTTTAAAGAAGCTCAGCAGGTAGAAAGAGATGATATAGGAGCTGAGATGGGAGGAAGCCGTTGAGGGAGGTTTTTTTTTTCTTTTTCTTTCTTTCTTTTTTTTTTTTTTTAAGAGGTTTTTGCCTTAAGGCTCATGCACTCACAGGAGAGAGAGAATGACAGACACGGTAAGAGGGAAAGTGAGAAATCACCCCCCAGGGAGGCCGGCCACACTGCAATCCCTTCTCCTCCACTCTCTTCCTGGGGTCTCGGGCACGCACGCATACATGCCTGGCACAACTTTTAAACCAACAGGCCCGGGACTGGAATCTCAGTCCGCCATGTGGGAGTCCAACCACGTAATTGCTATGCCACCTGCTGATTCCAAGTTGTTTTGTTTTTAATTAAAGAGACATTGTAGCATATTTCAATTCTGATAGAATGTTGCTTCTAGAAATTTGTCCTACTGATATCCTACTGTGAGTAGAGACACATGGACAAATGTATTCCCTCTTTATAATGGCAGAGCCTGCAAACAACCTAGATACCCAGCAGGGGGAAATGTGAAATGACTTAAAGCACATCCGTACAGTAGAATATTACCTCGCTTGTCGAACGAACGAGTGGGTATGCTGAGAAGGAGCTATCCTTTAGATACTATGGGAGAGAGGCAAGTTGTAGAAGATCGTGTTTAATATCTTCCCATGTACTTACATGCAGTGTACGTGTGTGTGTGTGTGTGTGTGTGTGTGTGTGTGTAATTTCTAGAAATATTTACAAGCATTTGTTTAGAAGTTCAATGGAGCAAGATGTGGGCACTAAAACGTGAAGGAGGCTTATTTTGTATTAAAAACTGCTTGTACGATTTTCATTTTAACATACAAATGTTTCTTATCGATAAAATGAGTTTAGAACACAAGCAAAAGGGAAGATGCCATCACATGGTTTAAAAAGACTGGCACTGGGGCTGGCAGGTGATGTGGTGGTTAAAGACGCTGGATTCCCACATGGCAGACTGTGGTTCGAGTCCCAAACCTGGCGCTTGCTTTCTCGCTTTCCTTCTCTCTCTCTCTCTCCAAATTAAAAACTAATGATAACAAATGGAATTAAATAAATGAATAAACGATTCTAAAAAAAAAGACGGGCAGTAGAAATAATGTCAATTTTGCTCATTTCTATATCACTGGCATCTACCAGGGTCTGGCACATAGCAGGTGCTCAGCAAACATGTCAGATGAAAGGGAGGCAGGGGCTGTGGTTCTAGCTGCTCGGTGTACCAGATGGGAGACTCCAGGCAGCAACTTCTCCCTGGGCCTCAATATCTGCATCTTGAGGTGTCATGTAAACCTGGCCATGTGGTGTACAATGCCCAGCATCCAGTCGGCACTTGTTAAACACGATTCTCCACCCCCTTTTCTCCGCTCCTCTCCCTCAACTCCCCTACTCCTTCCTGCACCATGCCACACCCATAATTTGGGACCATAAAACTCAACCTGTGTTGGACTTTCACCTCCCCAACGCCTCCCACTCACCCTTCCCTCAATTTTGGGGTCTGCCATCCCTTGCATCTGGATTCAGGTATCTCTAACCCCAGAGTGCAGGACCGGGGCCCAAGTGGACCTCAGGTCTGGCCAGGTTGCTGTTGCTATGGCGACAGTGACAATCCCCAGCGGCAGGTTCCCTAAGTGACTGGTTACTCTTTAACGTATCCACCCACCTTGGGTGATTAGAAGAATCAATAAGATAACCAGGCAGTGGCAGCTGGTCTCACTCACTGCCTTCCTGGTGGACTGGCGCCTGGTGGCCTGGCTGCTGCTGTGTGTGGGTCCAGCTCCTCCATGCTCCCAGGGCTCCAGCTGGGTGGGCTCGGCCATGGTCAGTGTGAATGCGCCCCTCGGGGCTCCAGGGGAGAATCCTTACGGTGAGTGTGGCCAGCAGCTGGGGTTGGCGTTGCTGGACAGGGCGGGCCCCGGGAGGCCATGGAACAAACACCCCATGTGTTTCTGATGGGCCCAAGACCCTCCAAGGGCTCCTCTAGAATGGCAGGAAGCCCAGTGGAGGCCTGTAACTTGCCTTGCAAAGTTCTCAACAGGGGCATGGCGTGTGTGGTGTGGAAAGTGCTGGCAGGGGCTACGGAGCCTGGGGCAGGATCCTGGCTCACTGTGCAGGCCACGAGGCTTCCCTGGGCATGCATCCCAGGGTCACTCCAAAATTCTGAGAGGTTGGGGACCCAAAAGTGTTATCCCACTTTGCTGTAGGGTAAACTGAGGCTCACATGGAGCCTCACTGGGCTTCCACCACCTACTTAGTGCATGGTCTAGCTGGGGATGAGCCCTGAGCTGGTGTATCCTGGGGGACAGTTGGCCAGGGCCCTCCACGCCTCCACCTCTGGGTAATCCACCAAGGGGAAAAGGTACGAAGTCCCACGCAGAGGTGGGCGCTGGAATATGAGGGCGCATGAAACAGGTGCAAGGCAGCGTGCGTGTTACCTCCTTATGAAGAAGAGCTCTACCACCTGGGGTGACCCCAAATTGGAAGGAACTCAGATGTCCTCATTAGGAGGAACGCAGGAGAGTGGAGCAGGATGCGTGTTTGTGATGGAATGCCATCCCGCTGCCGAAAGGGAAATGCAGATCTGAGTGTGGAGAGGGAAAAACCCCAGAGGTACGTGCATGAAGGCAGCGTGCTGCAGCTCTGCGTGGCGTCCTGATAACAAAGCGGAAATGAATGTGTAGATGTACAAGCGCGTTCGGATTTGCATGGGAAATTCGTGGAAGGACACAAAACAACTGGCGACAGTTCTGTTTCCAAGGAGGGAGATGCAAGAGAGTATTTGTTGTTTTATTTTCGGGGGGAAGGGGGCACATTTAGGGTGTTTTTAAAATGAGGTACATTTTACAAATCCATTTAAATCACACACATCCACCCTGCTTGTCCACTGGGCTCCGGTAGATCTTGATTCTCGTCTCGCAACTTTGGTCAAATTATTTAATGTTTTGGGTCTCCGTTGCTTTCTCTCTCTAAAGTGGAGACCGAATCATGACGCATCTTAGGGTGGTCTGGGTGGCTAAAGGGGAGCAAGGATGGAAACCCTTGCACGTGCACAGCGAGGACTCACTAAATCTCACTGTGTCATCGTGAGCTGAGGACAGACAGCCGGCGGGTGACTGTCTCCTGATTCTAGTCTGGAGATCTTCTCGGCTTGAAGCAGGAGACTGTGCCGTGGTGGAAATCGCAGAGGCTGAAGAACCAAACAACCTGGAGAGCCATCCCAGAGCAGCTCTGTGACCCTCGGCTGGACACCACCCCTCTCCGAACCTATTTCCTCATCTGCAGAGTCGAGATAACAACAGGACCTATCTCGCAGAGGGCAGGGGCGGGGTGGGAGTGTTAGAGGAGAGCATAGCTGAAGATCTAGACATACCTTGACCCACAATTGTTAAGACTTGGTGTAAAGACACGATTGTATGACTTAGTTAAACTGTGGCTGCTGGAAGATCTGTTGTCTCCCTAAGAGGCCTGAGTCAGCTTCTGGGAAAGGACAGCCCACCTTGTTAGCCTAGGGCAGGGGGGATCAGAAGGCCCTCGGGTCCCATTTATTTATTTATTTATGGAGATGTTTTTGCTATAGGGTGCATGCACTCACCAGGAAGACAGAGAGAGACAGAGAGACACAGAAAGTGAGAAATCACCCCCCAGGGGGATTGGCCACACTGCAATTCCCTCTCCTCCATTCTCCTCTCAGGATCTTGAGCACACACGCACACACGCTCAGTGTGAATTTAAGCCACTAGGTCTGGGACTTGAACCGCAGTCGACTACATGGGAGTCCCAGCGACATAGCCATTACACTAACTGCTGGTCCCCCTTAGGTCCCTTTTAAAAGATAATATAATATTAGGTGGTCGGGGAAATCATGATGTATTTTTCCCAATGACCTCATAGTAACATGACCGGGCAACTGCCTCTTATCTCCAGGTCTGTCCACTGTGTAGGAGTTCTCAAGTCCCCCGACCCCAGCCCTTGTGCAGAGATCATCATAGGGCATGTGTGCTCGCCAGAGAAAAATAGAGAGAGGCAAAGTGAGACATCAACCCCCAGAGAGGATGGCCATGTCACAATCCCTTCTCCTCCATTCTCAGAATTTTGGACACGCACACACACGCACCTGGTGTGATTCTCAACTTGCTGGGTCTGGGACTTGAACTGTGGAGTCAGTCATCTGGAATCCAGCATCTTAACCACCATGCCACCTGGTGGCCCCAAAGGGCCCACTTCGTAAATAAAATAAATCTGAGTTAGCACCGTGGAGATACATACATGGTCAATCTGTGACCATGTGAGTCACTACCCCTAGGAGCCTCAGATGTTTCATCAGTAAGATAAATGGGAGGAGGCCTGCTAGGAGGCTCTGGGAAAATTTTGCTTTCTGATAAAAGAAACCAGTGCTTTGTGTGTGGCTGGGGATCCCTCTGCTGGAGGTCTGTGATGGAGATGACAATACGCATCCCCGAAGAGTACTAGCAGGGGAGAGTTGGTGGGTGAGGGACGTGGTAGGCAGCAAAGCCTCAGTGCCAGTCCACGGGAGGCACAATTGCTGTGAGGTAAGATGAATTAACACCCGAGTGCTTAGAACAGTGCCAAATGCAGAGCCAACACTCAGAAGACCCTGGCTGTTGTTTCATATTTTCAAACCTAAGTAGGACAGTTTTTTGAGTGTTTTTGTTTTTGTTTCTTAATGTGCTAGAAGGTGTGTGTACTCACCAGAAAAAGACAGAGAAAAGGAGGGTATGCATGTTCTCTGTTGTGGAGAGTCTAGCCTATGCATTGTGGGATGTTAAAAGCATTCCTGGCTTCTACTCATTCAATGCCAGTAATGTCTCTCCTCATCTATTGTGTCAACCAATAATGTTTTCAGATAGACAAATGTACCCAAGGACACATATAACACCAGCGTATTGTGAGAAAGCAGGAATAGCTGTTGGCAGTGTCTACCACAGCTGAGGATATTGTGACACTTGTGTTTTAGTGTCTGTTCTAGATACCAGAATCTACCTCCAAGACAAATTTGGGATTTGCCTGAGCAACTGTAAGAACCAGATGCTGGATCCAGCAGATGGCATAATGGTTACGTCACTGGACCCCCACATAGTCAACCATGGTTCAAGTCCTGGAGCCGGTGGCTTGAAACTCACGCCAAATGTGTGTACATAAGTGTCCAAAGTCCCAAGAGGAGAACAGAGGAGAAGGGATTGTGGCATGGCCATCTTCTCTGGGTGTGTGTGTGTGATTTCTTGCTTTCTGTCTCTCTCTGTGTGTGTCTCTCTGGTGAGTATGTACATCCTATTGTAAAAATCTCTTTTAAAAAAAAAAGAGTAAGATGCTATGGTGTGATACCTGTGTACTAATCTGACTCCTGACTTTGCTTTTTTCCTTTTAACAAGTTTCCCTTGCTTATTTATTTTGGCCATTTGGCAAGTTGTCATTTCCCTTAGTACCTCAGATCTCTTGGAGAGCAAGATCTGTATTCATCTCAGTCTTTTTGTTATGTTCCAAGCTTCCCCACTGCCCATTGTAGACTTTGATGTGGGTAAATGGAATGAATGAATGAATGAATGGGAAGGTAGATAAGTGAATGAATGGATCTCTGGGTGAGTAGATGAGCAGATGAATTCATGGATGGGTGTTATGGATAGGTGGAAGGATGGTTGGATAGATAGATGAATGTATCCATGGATGGATGAAATAGATAGAGAGATGAATGGGTGGGACAAATTGGTACATGAGTAACTAAGAAGATGATGGATAGATGGATGGATGGATTAATGATGAGAGGTTACAGGTGGATGAATATGTGTGAAGGATGATGAACTGGAGGGTAGACAGATGGATGGGCTAGATGGAGAGATATTTAGATACATATGATAAGCAGATGAATAACCTGCTGGATAGGTGGGTAGATGGTTCTGGGAAGGATGGGTGGATGAATGATGTCATGGGTGAGTGGGAAGGTGGATGGATAATGGATAGAAAAGATTGGCTGGGCTCAGATGGCTTTGAGTGCTCAGAACAGGACAAGTGAGGAAATGGGATGATTTGGCTACTGGTCAATAATCCTCCATCAGGGCAGTGAATCTGTGTCCAATTGCCCAGTGTTCCTGATTTGTCCTATGTATGTCGACCTCATTCTTTTGAACATTAGCATCAGCCCCAGGTCTGGTAGGAGGCTATTGGCAGAGGTGGTCTGATCAAGCAGCCCTCCTACTTCAAGTTGTGTGACAGTGATCCGTTTGCTTCAGCTACTTGTTCTTCCTTTATTTTTTATCTTAAGTTTATTTATTCATTTCTTCCATGAGCAAGAGAGATGGGGATGTCGGCATGGAGACAGAGACAGAAAGACAGCACACCCAGCAAACACTGTGATTTACCCCAGCTTCAGCCAGCCCTGCATCTTGGGCATGTGTGTCCAGTGCACTCAGAGAGGTCTCCTCTATAAACCCAGAGCCCTCCTACATGGGTCAGCCAATGCTGTGTCTTACTGCTGTGCCACCATCCAGCCCATTCCTCAATTCCTTCATCCATCAAATGAACCTTGGTTGTTGTAAGGATTCCATGACCTCATGGAGGAGAAAAGATACTGTAAACTATAATATGCCTTGTCCCATGAAGGGTTAATGGCTCAAAGTCAGGCAGGTCCCCAGGCTGGCCAACTATGAGACTGTGGCTGTGTCCACCCTTCAATCCCAAAGTACAGTCTCTCTCCACCCCTCCCAACCATCCCTCTCCACATCATCTTCCCATCCCACCTCAGTCCAGCCTTCAGCCTCTATGGTACAGTGGGTCACAAACTTGTCACACATAGGAAACTCTTAAACATGTCTGGGGGTTCCACTCAGGTCTGGTGAATCAGAATTTCTGGGGGTGAGTAGTAATAATCTGTAAATGGAGGGGTTTCCTAACGTGGTTTTAGGGATTCAGATTGTCTGGAGTATGGAAACCATTTTCTTACTTTGTCCTGTTTAATAAAGAGAAGAAATAAATATCTACAGTGCTCCCTGAGTCTACCTAGAAGCCTCCTACATTCACTAATTTGTCATTCACTTCTTCAGTTCTTTATTCATGATAGAGAATGGGGTATAGATAGATAGAAAGAGAGAGAGAGATAAAGATATAGAGAGAAGGAGAGAGAGAGAGGAGCACCCTCCATGGGTCTGGTCATGTTGCAGTCCCCTTCTTCCAGTCCTCCAGCCCATCAGATCTCGGGCACTCACATACATGCCTGGCATGTTTCAGCCTGACTGGGCCAGGTATTTGAACCACGCTGTTGTGTGGAGCCTGGCTTCTCTTGAGCAGGGCATTACCACTGTGCCATGGAACTGAACTACACGTTCATTTCTTGAACAAAAGTCCACTGGGGGCTTCTGGCATTTAAGACGTTCTCCTAAGGAATGTTTCTGTTACTACATGGGAAAAGTAAGAAAATGGGGACATAGAATACAATGTGGCTTCAAATCTTGGACAGTGCCCAGTCTGGTGAGACAGCCGATGAGCCAGCACAACCGAAGACAGGGTGCCAGGACATAGATGTGGCACTGTGGGAACACAGAGGGACTCAGGGGCAGGGGAGAGGTCCTGAGCGGAGGAATAGACTGATAACTGAGCCAAAACTTGCAGAGTTAGCAGGAGACAGCCAGGGGAGAGAGGAAGAGGAGGGTCCCTCCCAGCCAGGGGAGCAACAGGTACAAAGCCCCTGAGTCCGGCTGCCTGCTGTGCTGATTTGACACTGACTGGATTAAGCCCGTGCTTCAGTGAAAGTTTCATGGGATTTTTCTGGCCATTTCATGGGGACAAAATCTAGTTGGACACCAAATCTCCCTTCTCTCAGCTTTGCCTGTTTCCTCTCACAGCAGCTTCCAAGGGGCCATGTAACATACTGTTTAGCAGCTGAGACTCTGGGATCCGGCTGCCTGATTCAAATTGCCACCTACTAGCTGTGTGACCTTGAGTAAGTTACTTAATTTCCCATGCCTCAATCTCTTCATCTTTCAAACGAGAATGCAATAATAGCTTCTAAGGCTGGCAGGTGGCGTGGGGTTGGGGGCGCTGAAGTCCCACATGGCCAACTGTGGTTCGGGTCCCAGACCTGGCATCTTGCTTTCTCACTTTCTCTCTCTGTCTCTCTTGCTCTGTCCCTCTCTGGTCAAACTGAAATAAACAAATAAATGGCTAAATAATGTTAAATAATAAATATTTCTTTAAAAAAATAGCATCTATTTCATAGGGTTGTTGGGAAAATTAAATAGGATTGATATCCAGAAGATGCTGAGTGTCTGGCACATAGAAAATGCTATGCAAATTTGAATTATTGTGAGTATACTGGCAGAGTGCATACCTACTACGTGCAAGGAACTGCATACCCACTATGTGCTAGATATCTTTCTAGCTGTGTGGATCAAACAGGAATGAAGAACAGCTATGCTCCTGGTTCCAGGATGCAACTGTCTGGCTGGATAGTCAGGAAAAAAGCTTAGTTCTGAGTCTTTAGAAGCCCCATGATACCCTGGGGTCTGTTCTTGGCAGGTGGCAGGGCAGGGTTGGTTCATGAGTGTGGGTCTGTTGGCTCCTGCTCAGAGGAGGAGCAAATGGGAAGCATAGACATGAGGGGACAGTCCAGCACTGACCAGAGGCCTGAGCAATGCCTTGGGCTCTGGGCAGCTGTTTGTGACCTCCGTCAAGTCCTTCTGCTGCCCTTCAACTCTGCTGCTGAGAAGTGAAGGCAGGACAACGACCTGGCTCAGCAGTTGTCATAGACTCATTCGCTGGGACCCTAGGAGTCGGGAGAGATGTCTCAGTTCACCTTGAGGGCGATAGGAGGGCGTTTCAAATGGATCAGGCTCTTAGTTGGCCTCTACTCTGTAGCCGCTAGTCTAATCAAAGATGCTTCATTTTGCCTTTTTCCCCCCTAAGTTTGTTTCTTCTGAGAGAGAGAGAGAGAATTCCTCCCACAGGGTCTTGGCACCACAGCCCACTCCTGGCCTGAGCCAGCCTGGATCATGAGCAAGGGCAAGCCAGGCACCCTCAGGGAGTACTCCAGGTGTGAACCTAGAACCTTCCCGTGAGAGTCAGCCTGGCACAGCGAGGCATTTTATCACTGCGCCACCACCTAGCCCCATTCTGACTTTTGAGAATGAAACACATAAGGAAAGAACTCCATGGTTCAAAAATGGAAAACGACGAGATCAGTGTTTCAAACTGCAGTCTTGACCCCGAGGCAGGTCACACAACTTACATGGCTGTGTTCATTTGGACAGTTCTAATGGAGGCAACAAACACACCCAAAACGTAGGTTAGAAGTTTGTTCACCTCTGCAGCATAGTCAGCTGGGGACCACAGAAGTGGCCCTGGCCAAAAGGGACACTTACCACTTCTACTCACATCTCATTGGTGAGAATTGGTCACATGGCCCTGGCCAGATGCAAAGGAGTCTAGGGCAATGCAGTCGCTGGCTGGGCAGCTGTTTTCCAGGAATAGCCCTAAATATGGAAAGAAGAGCATGAATTTGTCAGTATACAGCGGATGGATGATCTCTGCCATAGGGTCATGTACACACACACACACAGATGCCCACACAAATATGTATAACGCGCCAAATAGAACAAACGTGAATGTGCCAGTTTTTAGATCAACAGTAAGACATGTACATAGCTGCAGAGATAGCAATATTAACTCTTCATCCTTACAATGATCCTGCCAGGCGAATGCTATTGTTGTTATCCCCGTTGCACAGATGAGGACACGCAGGCACAGAATGGATAAATCACCCAGCCCAAGTGGCACAGGCATTCAGAGGTGGCGGAGGGCCCAGGATCTGTGTCCCGACTACCACCCTTTACTGCCACTGTGTACACAAAGTATACGAGGCAAGATGTGTTTCTTCCTGAGGGTTACAGTCAAAGGTTTAACAGCCACTGAACAGAATGTTCCCAAAGATCCTTTATAAACTTAAAAACAGCACACCTTTTATTAGGTGCACCTCCAGGGTACAGGGGCCATTTTTAGGTAGTTAATGGACAAACACTTGGAAATCACCCTGAGTTCGACTGGCCCCATAGTCTAGTGGTTAAGGAAGCTGAATCCCAAAGTGTGGCTGACCACAGTTTGAACCCCAGCTCCAGTAGCTTGAAAAATGCATCACGTGCATGTGCAAGTGTGCCCCAAATCCCAGCAGAATGGAGAAATTCAGGAGGAGGGGTTGCAGCATGACCACACCCCATGGGGAGGTGCTTTCTCCCTCTTGTCTCTCTGTCTCTCTGTGATGAGTACACGTGCCCTGCAGCAATTTTTAAAAAAAGGTATACCTCCAATGAGTTTATTTATGAAGTGTTAGAAAAATGTATAACTAGCATATTAAAATATTAATATAAACTACCTTTAAAGTATGTCTTCAAAAGAACAATATCAAGTGAACAGTTCCAGGTAAGTAGAGTACAAACCGCAGGCACACTTGGCAGGACTGTGAAGAGGAATATAAATGTCTAGGGCCAGGAACCAGCACGGACCTTGGCACTGGAAGGCCCAGATCTGGGTATAGGCTTATTTGCTTCCTGCCTCTCTGTCATTTGATCATGTCTATAGTGCTTACTGTGGACTAGGACATACTGTGGGCTACTGGTCTAGACACTTGTAAGAAATTAGCTCTTTATTTTTATTTATTTATTTTTAAATCTGCTATCAGACATATGCTTTCTCTTGCCAGAGAGAGTGAAAGTGAGAAATCATCCCCCCCACTCCCCAGCCGGGATGGCCATGCTACAATCCGTTCTCTGTTCTCCTCTCAGGATTTTGAGCTCACAAGTGCCCAGCATGATTTTCAAACCTCAGGGTCCGGGACTCAAATTGCACAGTTGGCCACATTTAACCCTCACCATGGCCTACTAAGATAGGTACTGTCATCAGGCCCATTTCTTATAACAAAGGCTCAGGGAGGTTGAACAGCTTCCTTAAAAAACACACAGCCCTTGAGAATTAGTGCTGTGATTCCAACCTCGGCATTATATTAATAAGAGCAACATTAGCTGAGATAACAAACAAGCCCCAAAGGTGAGGAGAGAAGGTTATCCCTTCTTTCACGCTGTGAAAGCAATCCCAACTCCCTCCTTCCTCCCTAGCTGGAAGATGGATTTTATTTTCCCCACCGAACCCCATGGTGATGGCGTTCTCATCATCAAGCAGGGCTCCACACGCTCCTTTGAAAATGGAGTCAATCACGCCAGTTCTACTCGCCCCGTGCAAAAACTCTGCAGATTAAAGAGATGGTTCCAAGAGTCTTCTGCAAACTGCGTGACTAAGATCTGACGGAGGGGGATCCATCGAGACAGCCCACGGAAAGGCCTTGGGGCATCCAGAGAGTGTTAGCTGAGAAGACAGTAACCATCTGCCTGTGGTTATGCACCTGAACGAGGCATGTAGAAGTATCTCTAAACTGGAATATAGTTATTCCGGATCTTTCCTACCAGCAGGGTAACAGGCTATATTGAAAACAGAAATGTCAGGAGGCAGCAGTGTAACCATGATATTTAGAAATATAGAGGAAAACACTGGGGGTGGGGAGTGGGGATACCCAGCTTAAATGCGTGTGGTCGGTTCCGGGTGGTGGGAACCAGGTTCAGGAAGGAGTGGATGGGTAACAACCGCTATGGTAAGCCTTGTAGTATTTGACTTTTTCAATGATGTACAGTTAGAGCTTTGATTTTAATAAAGGAAGAAAGAAGAAAGAAAAAAGGGCTGCCCCCCCCCCCAGTGCAGTGGTCTGGCCCTGTGGATTGTGATTTGGCTCCCACGTGGCCAACCACAGTTCAAGCCCTAGCCTCGTGGCCTGAAAAACACACTGAGTGTGTGTGCGTGAGTGCCCAAAATCCTGATCCAGGGGGGAACGGAAGAGAAATGATTGCAGCATGACCACGCCCCATGGGGGTGCTTTCTCTCTCTGAGCACATGTACCTTCTGGCCACTAAAACAAAAATTAAAACGGAAAAGGGAAGAATTGAATGGCATTTTAAACATCTTCAAGTGTAGCTGAAAACAAGAGTCAGGACAGAAAGTCACCGAGGGAGAAAGCAAGGCTGGAGAGAGGTTCAGCGACAGCCGCGTTTCAGATCCCGGCTGGAAGCCCTGCAGTGAGTTTGCATCTCCCTCAAATGAACCCTGAGCTCTCCTCTTTGACCATAAAGGCCCCGTAGGCTCTCGCCCAATCATCTTTCCTGCTTTTCTCCCTTTGCTTCCTCCACGTGAGCCATGCTGGCCTTTCACTATCCTTCAATCACACGAGCACATCCCTGCCTCAGGGCCTTCGTACCTGCTGCTGCCTCTGCCAGGAACACGGTTTCCCCAAGTCTTCCCATAGTTGATTTCTTCCCAGAGCACTTCACTCAGAGTGGCCATCCTTGACCCCCCCAAATCTCAGGCTGCCCCACCTCCACCCCTCGCTATCAACCTCTTTACCCCCACAGCTGAGAGCATGCCCTCCATGATCCGTTTCCACCCGTCTCCCCCACTACAGTATAAACCTCATTTGTGTAGGCGATCCAATGTCTTGTTCCCTATCGTGTGCCCAGCAAGCAGGACAGTTCTTGGCACACAGTAGGTGCTCCATAAATATTTATGGAATGAGCAAATGCAGATGGGGACGGCTGAGTCAGTGTGCTGAGCAGCTGGACAGGCCAGTGGTGTGGGGAGGAAGCCACAGCCTCTGCCTGGGCCCTGCCCTGGGTAAACAGGCCTTCCTCTGCCCAGACAGCCACTGTTTGATGACTGTCTGCCATGGGGCTGGCCAAGCCGGGGCCGACACACTGCCCAGGCCCAGGATTCTCTGGGACAAGCAGTGGAGGCGGCCACACCTCAGGGAGCGCTCGTGAAGGAACAGGTCAATAAGTTATCCAAATAGGTGTGAGGAAGGGCGGAGGAGGTAGGGAGACCCAGGGATCCGGCCCTTCCCTGGGCAGAGCTGGAGAGGGGCCTCGGCCAACCTTAGACAGCTTCCCGGATGGGACGCAGCTGCCTATAGGCTCAGTGCTAGGAGCAAGGAGACTGGGTTCTGGTCCCAGCTCTAGCCCTGGTTTACAGAGGGGTCTGCTCAGGCCCTTGCTATTCCCAGCATTAAATTTCCTCACCTAAAAATAGAAGGGCTGGGGCAGAGCGGGGCAGGCAGATCAGCGGTTTCCAAATTTGAAAAAGTATATATTGGGTTCTTGGAAAAGTCATGACATATTTTTCTGTCTTGTTCTATGCAAAAACATGTAGAAAACACACACACACACATACCTCAGTGGCAGTCTTTCTTCAAACAAAATCTTACCCAGAAGGCAATCCCAGGGACGACGCCATGGAGGAGCCTGGGTTAGGCATGTGGGAGGTGCTGAGTCTCTACCCTGGAGCCCTTCGTCCTTCGGAGTATCCCCAGGTGAAAACCATCAGGCTTCTCGATCTCTGATGAGGGAGAAGGGAGGGTAGCAAGGGGAAACATCTAGAATCTTGTAGCCAAACATAGTCCCTGGGTCAAGCCCTGCAGTGTGATCTCGAACAGTTTATTGCACCTCTCTGAGTCTCAGTTATCCCCTCTCTAAATCTGGCATCGTAAACACCCCCATGGATCACCCTAACGTGTCAGCACGAGCATGGCACCTCGTAAACTCCCCACCAGTACAGTAACAGCCATGCGGGAAGCAGCTCTGATTTACTATTTTTAAAATATGACTACAATTGGGTGGCTGGAAAAGTCATGACATATTTTTTCTATGCAAAAATGTGTCATAACTGTTCAGACAACCCAATAGAACCATTACACTGATATCTGTGGGGACCAGCAGATGGCATAATGGTTACATCTCTGGACTCCCACATGGCCAACCACAGTTTGAATCCCAGACCTGGAGGCTTGAAACTCACACTGGGTGCATGTGTGTGCGTGCCCAAAATCCCGAGAGGAGAGTGGAGGAGAAGGGATTTGGGGATGACCACTCCCCTGGGGGGTGATTTTTCACTTTCTGTCTCTCTGTCTCTGGCAAGTGCATATGCACTATAGCAAAAAATATTCTCTCTCTCTAAAAAAAAAAAAAAAAAAAAAAAAATGGGACCAGCAGTTAGGGTAATGGCTATGTCT